CTTATAAAACCCGGATATTATAGTATTTTTATAGAATAATAATTTATATAAGAACTCTTATTAAATTAAAATTACTAGCTTTTTAAAAAAATAAATATTTAAAGTTATTTCTAGATTTTAAATATTAAAGAAAATATATATTTTTAATTCTCGGTTTATTAATAAAATTAAAAATAAGAATATAAAAAGAGAGCTTAAAAAAGTAAAACTAGTTATTTAAACTTATAATATTATATAAACTTATATCTAATTAATAATTTTATTTAATTATAATTTTATATTAATTTATTTTATATTAATTTATTTTATATTAATTTATTTTATATTAATTTATTTTATATTAATTTATTTTATAAGCTTATTAAAGAGCTAAATCTAAAAAATAATTCTATTTTAAAGATTATAAAACTATTATATAATATACTAAAAACTAGAAATTACTAATTTAAGATTTATTATTTCTATTATATTAATAAGTTTTTTGTAAAATAGTTAACTTATAATCTTTATTTCCTTTATAGCAAATAATCTTTCGGAATTATTAGCCTTTAAATTAATAATATTCTATTTATTAGAACTAATAATTTTATAAAAATAAAGTAATTAAAGCTTTAAAAAACTAAATTCTTAATTAAAAAATATAAATACTTTATTTTTAATTATAATCTTAAGTTTAATAAAAGTATTATTTATATAAATATTACTAGAATTATTCTTATATAGAAATACTAATATAAAAATCTCTAAATTATTTCTATAAATAATAAGAATATTATTTATTAAAATCTTTTTATTAAAAACTAATGTATTATTTAATATATTAAAGAAATATATATTATATTAATCTATTAATTAGAAGCTTTATATAACCTATTAATTATTATTTAAGCTATTAAATTTTCGGAAACTAATATAAAGGCATTTAATAAATATATTTAATAATAAATTAAAAATATTATTAGAGAATTAAAATTTATAAAGCTAGGAAAGAAATTCTTATATTTAATTATTTTTATAAATACTTTATTTATAAATAATAGAGATTTCTTTTTCTAAATTAAATATATTCTAGTTTAATAAATAGAACTAAATATACTAATATTATTTACTAGTTTTTTATTAAATATAAGAAAGTTACTAGAAGTATTCTAGTTTCGAAACTCTATAATATAGCTTATAGCTTTAATATAGGTACTTTAGTTAAATCTATAATTAATAGAATACTAGAAATAGAATTATTATTAATAGTTTATATAAATTTAAAATTATTATATAAATGCTTTATTAAATTAGAAATTATTTAAAACTAATATTTAATAATTCATATAATATATTTTTATTAAATATATAAATAATAAAAGATTATAGAAATTAAATAAATTAAGAGAAAATCGAATTCTATTAATTCTATAATAAAATTAAAGCTAATAAATATTCTTAAATATCTAATTAATATAAATATAATATAATTAGATATAGAGAAATAAATAAAATATAAATAAAATAGAAAATAAATATATAAGATAAGAAAATATTATAAAAAGAGAAGTTATATATAAAAGGCTATAGCCTTTAATATATAATTAAAACCTTAAATATAATATAAATATATAAAATATTTAGGAAATCTAGTATGAGGCCAAATTAAAGAATTAATATATAATTAGAAAAAAATACTATTTTTTGCGTATTTTAAAAAGATTCTAATATTAATATAGCTATTTTCCCGAGAGTTATATATATAATTACAGGATTCGGAATACGAGATATAAAATATAAAATATAAAATATAGTTATATAACCTTATATTTTATAAGTAATATAATTAGTAAATTAAACTTTATTAGGCTTAATAGATTTAGGAATTATATATTAATACTATAATATTATAATTTTTATTTCTAAATAATAATAACTTTACTAATTTTAATATATTTATATTTTATATATATTATATAATAGTATTATATATTATTAGTAAACTAATATTTATATTTTCTAAAAAGTATTTTTTCTAATTATAAATCTAATAAATTATATTTAAAATAAAACTAGTATTTTAGTAAGGCCTAAAAAAAGCCAAAATAATATTTAAAAAAAATTTATATAATTTTCGAACCTTTTTTTTCGTTATTAATAGTTTTATAAATTAGAATTTACTAAATTAAAGTTTTTAGAAATAGAATTACTTTTATTAAACTTCTTTATTTTTATTTTTCTTAATTTAAAATAAATAATATATTTTACTTTTTAAGCTTTTTTAAACTATTTAAAAATAAATATTACCTTATCTTTTTAAAATAAAAAATATAAATATCTAATAAATCTTATAATTAAACAAAATAGTATTAAAAGTCCGAATTAGATTTTTTTTTTTTAGAATATAGATTCTAATTAATTTCGAGATTAATTATTTAAATATATAATTTAATAATTATTTTTTAATTTTTTTAATAAAAATCTTAAAGTTCTTTAAAGATATCTTATTAATAGATTTAAAATACTTGAAATATTTTAATTAAATAAGCCTTAAATTACTTCTAATAAATCTTATTTAATAATAAACTTTATTTTATTATAGCTTTTTAAATATTATAAGATTCGTTTTTAAAAGTATTTATAAAAGAATTAATTTTAGACAAATATTTATTATAAATTTAAAATTAGATTCTAAAAACTATTTTCTAGAAAAATATAAATATTTTCTATAATATAAATTAAATATTTAAATCTTAAAAAGTTTTTTTTAATTTAAATACATTTTTAGAATATTATATAATAGCTTCTAATAAATAGTATTAAGATTACTTTTAAAACTTATTATATTAGAAAATAAAATAAATTCTAATTTTATTTAGGAAATTCTTTAAAAGAAAATTAAAAAAATTTATAAATAGAATTTTTATAAAATATTTTAAAGAATATCTTTATATTAATTAATTATATTTACTAATTCTTGCTTTTATTAAAGTATTTTAATTTTAATATATAAGCTTTATTTTATAATTTAAATAATAGTAATTTAGATATTAATTTTAATATTTTAATTATTACTAAAATCATTTTCGTTATTATTACTAGATTTTAAAGACTTTTAAGAAATCCTATTAAAAATATTAAATAAGCCTTTATTATAACTTATATTAAAATTAATTAATTTAATTTTTTTTATAAAAATAGTTTTAGTAAAAAGTTATATATTTTATAGATTTCGAAATATAATTATTTATTAAACTATTTTCTCTAAAAATATAAAAATTAGCTTATAAAATATTTATTAATAAATAATAAAATAATAAAATAATAAAATAAATTATAAAACTAATCTTTATATCTTTTATAAGATTTAAAAAAGTCTTTTTTAAATAAGAATTTCTAATAATATATATATTTAGTAATTTATAATCTAAAGCTTATAATATAAATAGTATATAATTATAATATTAAAAGGCTATTAATTCTTTTTAATTAATACTTATAATATTTGAGATTTATTATATATTTTTAAATTATATATAATTTTATATATATTATATTATTATAGTTATATAATAAATAAAACCAAGTTTCTTATATATATAAATAACTCTAATAATTAAAGCTATATAGCTATAATTCTTAAGATTCTTAAATATTTCCTTATTTATATTTTTTTAGATAATATAGAATTATAATTTATATAAAAAAAAAGATATATTTTTTATTTAAATATATATTTAAATATTTTATTTTTATAATTATTATTAAATTATATATAAATTAAAATTCTAGATATATTTTTTAATTTCTTTATAATTTCTTTTTAATTAATATTTGTATAAGCTTATTTAATAATAGCTTTATAATATAATAATAATTTTATAAAAAGTTATAATATTATTTTAATGAAATTTATTAAATTATTTAATAGAAATTAAATTTAAGATATATTTTATTATTATAATATACTTTTTAATAATATAAATACTAAATTACTCGAGTAATAATATTTCCATATAATTTTACTAATTAATTACTAAAAAAAAAAAGTAATTAACTAGTTTTTTAATTAGTTTAATAGTTTAATTTTTTTATTTCTAATCTTGGAAATATTAAGAAAGTTATTAAACCCTATTAATTATATTATTCTAGAAAAGCTTTAAGCCTATAATTATCTAATTATAGTAATTTATAATAAATACTTAATTTTATATTATATTAGCCGGCCTAGTTTTAATATAATTTTATATAAAAATATAGATTCTTATTTTATTAATTAGATAATTAAATAGCCTTACTATTATTGTATTATCTAAGCTAAAAGTTATATATAGGTACTATATCTTCTAATTAGGAATTCTGCCTTGGGGAGAGGGGGGGTATACAGGGTGCCAGTACGAAAATCAAAAAATCAGAAAATCACTTTTCGCTTCTCGGATTTGTCCGCTAGCTAGCTGTAGGACTCAGTAAACTGTGCGCCGGACGCCACCAACTCCGACCATGCCAAGCCGACCTACAAAGCAAAGAGTACATAGATATACTTCCGAGAATATCTTATTCTAAATAATTAAAGTACTCACAAGTTCTAACAGATAATTCAAGCCAGATGAACGCTTGGCAATCAGGTAGGAAACAAAATTGTTCTCAAACTCAAATATAAGGTCCAAATGGCATGTGATTGGACAATGCGCAGTCCAGATCAGAGTGAGACAATTGCGGCGAGGGGAACGACAATGAGGTTAGATGTCACTCATTCGAGTACACCCCATTTACCTCCCGATACAATCAGGATTGGAACTTCTACCCGTGAAGAGGCAGTTCGTGTGTCTGTTTCTTTCCACTCACTTCGCCCTTCCTCCGCCACCACTAACTGCTATCCACAAACTAGCTGTGAGCCTCAGTGCTGACGCCCGGGAAACGCCATCTCTTGCGCCTAATCAACCCTTTAGTTGAGAACACATATTCGGTTTCCCTTGTCGGCCATCAAATGACGATCATCGAAACCGATTTTGTTCCAGTCAATGCATTCACGATTGGCTCGGTGTATTTGGGACCAAAGAGTCACTGTGACCATCGATGCTAGCCAAGCAATCGGCAATTACTGGATGAACGTGTCCTTCTCAAACACCTTCGGCTGTGGAACCTCCAACAATCCTACTCCGGCAGCTATCTTCAGCTACATTGGTGCAAACAACTCTCTTCCAACCAATCCAGGCGCCACCCCGCCCGACTCTCTCTGCGCAGACAATATGAACTTGGTACCTATTGTCAAGCGCACAGCTCCCCTCAGTGCTTTCGATGCCCTTCAAGATAACCTCTTCGTCAACTTCGTCACCGATGGCACGACCTCAAAGGTCTTCTGGCAAGCCAACGGTTCCTCGATTTAAGTGGACTGGAGCAATCCAACACTTCTTCAAGTGAAGAACAACGCCCAAACCTTCGCCTCAAATGTGAATCTCATCAAAGTGCCTCAAGCCAACATCGCAAGTGTCTTGTCCTCTCCATTTCCACCAAATCTGCTTCCTGGCAATATCTTAGTGGAGCGTCTGCTGATCCAAAATCTGACTCCTGTCCCCCACCCAATGCATCTCCACGTAAGTTCCCGGCTGCACATGAGAGGGGGGATTCCGGTATCGGTGTAACCATGCAGTACACCCATGTATGCAGGATAGGTCTAAATTCACACAGTACGGAGGTACATGTGTTGCACTCTGATGCAGGGAGGAGGAGAGGGGCATCTGATAAGGTCAGCAAACATCCCTTCTATGTGGACGGTCCCACGTTTGGAAACCGAATTCGGGTGGAGCTTTTGATTTTGTTGGTTTGCATGTGTGCAGGCATCTCTCGTCTCCATCGTCCATCACGCAATGCGTGGCTGTTCCGCCTTGCGTATAGAGGACGCCGTTTTGAATCGCCGACTACGACCCACAGATTTGGGAGAACGGAGAGCGAAGGGCGGGCATGATGGAGGCTGGGCGGTTGGTTAGGGCAGACAAACGAGGAGGGAATCTAAGGGGAAGGGCTTGGAGGAGAGCGTGTGGTGGTTTGTGATTGGTTACCGGTGTTTGGAACGGGTGGTTTTGGGGATACGGTGGAATGGTAGCGATAGAGCGTATGCGGTATCAGGAGATTGTGATACGAAAAGACAGGTTGTGGAGGACAGAAGGTATGAGGATGGGGAAATAGAACTTATTGGTCGCTCGAGCGACAAGAAACGAAGGTTTAGGTCGAGTTAGTTGATGATATTACTATCCCCCCCCCAGTCCAAAGCGCGATTTGCCATCATCTCCTTCCACGTCTCACCCCACTAAAGGCACGCAATTGAGTATTCACCGCTTCCCAATTAAGAAGGATGAAGCTGTCTTCATTTTCTTCTCTATTTACAATCTTCAGTACTTTGTTGGCCCCCCCTTTGCTTCCTTTACAGCCTTATACCGTCTCCACCAGCTATTATATAAGCCTTGTATATACTCGTCTGGTATAGCTTCTCACGCATCTTGCACGATCCGCCGTAACTGATCTAAGTGGATCTTAGCGGGATCGTATCGCGCCTGCCAGTAATGCTCTTTAATCCAATTCTTTATCCAATTCCATACATACTCAATGAGATTCAAGTCTGGTGAGTAACGGGGAGCTTGAATCGTGGGAATATGACGAGTAAGTAGATTAGTCTTTGTCTTGTACGAGCGATGAGAAGAGGCATTATCTTGCCAGAAGCGGTACCGGCTAAGGAGGTGATTCCGGAAGAATTACTCTATTAGAGAGAGAATCCTCTCGTCATATCGCGCAGAGTTAATTGACCCCCACTCCTTTTCCCAGAAGAGCGAAGGCCCCTTCTTCCCGTTAACTATACAGCCCCAGAATATCCATGACGGTAGCTTAGAGTACTTGTATCATACGCACTCCGGGAGCAAGCGGTTACTGCCATCTTGTAAACAAGTAATATATGACGAGGTATGTACTCCGCCAAAGGCCCAGACTTCGTTAGTAAAGCAGATCCTTTGTACGTAAGGCCTTGGCCACGTACTCCCTTGCTCTGCCAAGTCTAGCCTCTCTTGAATAACTTTAGGATTATCTGAATAGCCCTTTTTTCGCGAGACTCGCCGGCAGTAGCTAATATCTTGAATAGCTATCCGGAAGGCCTTCTCCTTAGTATAAAGCTATGGTAAATAACAGGGCATCTTGTAATAAGCCACGTAACGATGAGAAGGCGATTCAAGGAGCCACTTCTTAAGCCTCTCCTTTTCTGGAGTATAAAGCGCGATATTGTGAGGCTTACTGGCCCCTTTTTGTGGTATAGTATGATGATTCTTAGTGTACCAGATCTGGTGATCTGTTACGTCAAGTACTTGCTTAATTTCTGCATAAGGTATACGGAAGAGGAGGGCTGTTTGAATCTGGAGCCGTAAATCACGTAAAGTCTCAGGGGCACAGGTATAGTGGCGATAATTAGTCCCTTGAGAGAGCTCTTGAGAGGAGTCTGCTTGAGAGTCGGGAACGAAGAGAGGAGAAGGCTGAGTGAGAGAATCTGGGAGAAGGTCACGTGAATCCCAGGACTTTATAGGCTGTAATTCGTTAATTTGAGGAGGACGTGGCCTATTCTGGGAGTCCCATGACTGCGTAGTCTTTTGAGAGTCAGGGAGAGAGGGAGGAGGAGAACGAGGCTGCGCAGAAGGCGGAGTATCTGCGTCATAGAGGTTACCGTACTCGCTGTAATAAGGCGGGGGGGTAGTGAAGCGTGAGTCTTGAGAGTCCATTGAAAATTGAGGATATAAGGAAGTAAAAGTAATAGCCAGTAAAAGCTGTGTTTTCTGCCATACTTATGGTATAGCTACGCAGGCGAGCTAGAAGCTTCTACGTGCTCTGATTGGCTGAAAATGGAGTGAGGTGTGGCGTGAGTGAGGCATGAGAGTGTGGGCAGACAGTGGCAAATCGCGCTTTGGACTGGGGGGGGGATAGGGGGATAGTAAGTGAAGTTCGGATGAAAGTGGAGTAGGTGGAGTGGCCCTTCGGCGCTACGGACTACCAGTAGCAGAGTTTGGTTGGAGGCTGGAAAGTATTGGGTAGCTGCGGAAGACGCACCAGCAAGGTGTATACATAATCCAGGTGCTAAAGATGTAGCTTCAGACGTTGCGCCAAATTGTTCTCCCATCATCCCCCGGAGGGCTTGCTGGAGTCCAGACACCCCTTCTCCTGATCTGGTCTGCGGGCCGTGATTCCACGCGGGCACCCAGGCACGGAGAAAGCTTTTACGAGGAATCGGAAATCATTGGGTGATATGGTGATATGGTGATATGGTGATATGGGTGGAGAAAGGGGCGACGTTCAGAAGCCATGTGCGGAGCGGGACAGGGTGGGCTGTCGTAGAGCAATGTGGACATTGCAGGTGACTTCGGCAGTGATGAAGGAGCGATTTTTGGGTAGAGGGAAATGGAAGAGTGTTCATGAAACTTCACTCGACGGATTCTGAAGAGAGGGGAAACAAGGCATTCCTGCGATGCCTTCATGCCCTGGTATCATGACCAACACCGCCCAATTTCCAACCATGAGATGCTCCCGTGCCGCCAAACCAACCAACCATGTAACGCCCCAACTAAATCAGAATTCGAGGCCATCGGCCGATCAGAACTGAGGCTAGTCAGCAAAAAAAACCCTGCCTTGGCACATAATTACCACTTACCAATTTCAGCGGAGTCCTGTTCAGACCTCTCGTAAAGTTGCACATCGCCCGCTGCTTGTTCGGCCTCTGCTGCAACCTCCTGAATGCTTCCTGGATATGTCTCGGCTCAACTGGCGTTCGGCCCTCAGACGGTGGATCAAAAAGTCCTTGAATCTTCCGCTTTTTGCCCCTTTGTTCACCACCAGACTTATCCTTCACCAAGTCTTCCTGCTCCTTGATCTTCAGTGCCTCCTCCGTAAGCGTCTGCACGATCTCGAATGTCAAGAAACCGAGGATGTCTACGATATCATCGTTAGGTTTTGAATCCGTGACAACGCCAAAGCCAGCCCATTCCTTGAATCTCTTGCCCTTGCGGAATGTGAACGAAGCTTGGCGGTATTCAGACCACGTGACGTACTCCTCCTTCGTCATGGCCTTTGTCCGCTCATCCGCTTTCTTGAGTCGTTGCAATGTGGCATAATTCATTTCTTCCTCGTCCTCGTCCTCTTCATCTTCGCGCTCGGGGACCTCTTGGTTGTAGAATGAAGGGACTTCCCAAGGAAGACCCACTTTGGCTTTTTTGTTCTTTTTGGCGGTGTCGACGACTGGCCCTCCTGCTACTGCTCCGACCGGTTCGTCACCAGTTCCGAGATCTGCGTCGCCACCTTTGTCGTCGGAGTCCTTGACATTTTTCCGCACGTCCTTCCAGGAGAGGAATGTACGCAGGCGGGAGACCTTGGCTTGATCGTGGCGGATGAGGAAGATGAGGTCGTCGGTTGAGATGGATCTGCTACCTCGACGTGAGGCCTGCTCGGTACATTGCCGAAGCTGTAGACAATTAGAGCGAGCTCACGAAAGGTTGGAATCCGAATCCGGATGCAGTCCACATTTGATCAACAAATCGAGGTTAGAGTCGCATACCATTTCGATGACCTGTTGCCGAACGATTTCTTCAATCATACCCGTGGTTTCTGAAGAGGCTTCGGCGGTCTCACCAGAGACGTACATCATCTAGAGACTTTAAATTAGTATCGGTCTCGAATTTTCCTGTTGAAGGGAAATAATGATGAATATGAAATTGCGAGGATCAAGTTGAGGAGTGCCACTCCACGTGACTGGCCTATCGTCACTTCGATGAACGAGATGGGACCAGACACTCCAAGCTCTTGAGAATTGTAGTTGAGGTCCGAAGGAGATTTGTAAGACAATAATGCACCAGCTGTGGCTTCGGGAGACCGGGCAGGAAGGGAAGCGCTGGCTCAGTGGCCGCGGTGAGCGGATACAGCTCCTCTACAGGGCCTTGAAGGCAATCAAAGGTACCTCACCTGTTGGATCTCCTGCCGGTACTTCGCCGTCTTGTCCGCCATTTGGACTGGATTCCTTCCTCCCTCTTCTTCGAATACCCCGCGTCAAGGATTAAATATCGAGCAATGGCTTTCCCGCACACCGTCGCGCGCTTCCAGGCTGTCGTCTACGACTCTAGTCCTTGGTTTCTAGAGTATAGCAAGTCTGTAGATACGTCCGATGGTATCCGTGAGATGGAATTCGATGTCGTGGGAGAAGTTGCTGAGTTGTGTCGATGAATGAAGTGGAATTTCGAATGAGGCTTGATTTAGTTTATGCGAGCCAGAGGTAAAAGCGCACCTCCCCTCTTTGGGCGATTCTGCTGCCTCAGACCGCCCTTCTGCTCCTCCAATGTCTCATTTCATCTGGAACATTCATGTCTCAGCAACAATTTCCACCAAAAATGGCGCTTTCATGATTTATCCAACCGTGAGTATCTCCGTTACCAATTGCTGGATTCCATGCTTCCGTAAGCAGCTCATTACGGGATCTCAGCACGTGATATCAGCCAAATGCCGACATTCCGAAAATGACACTAATTTGGTTCCAAACAAAAGGCTTCACTCCTGTTTCATGCACGTGTTGCTCGGGGACATCAACGACATTGTACAGTACATTTATGATCTGTGAAATCTGCCTGGACTGATGGAAGATGGAGTGGCTGTGCGCTCGCAGCGTGGCCGGCGCGGACCCCGATACGAAGGCGAAGATCTGTCCCCGACGACGAACCTTGAGCTGAGAGGATTTTATGCGTATGGCCTGGCTGCTGAGGTCTACGCAGTATGCGGTATTGGTACGGAAGCTCTCTCCTGTTTTGAAAGTTCGGAGAGCTTACAGTCTTCCTAGGTTCATTTGTTCCCGTGACTTTGGAGCAGCTGGCAAGAGAAGGAGGAGTGCTATGGTCAGATAAGAAGACGCCGTGCATTGCAAAGACTACTGGGAAAGGAGCCGCTGCTCTAGCTGCGCGATTGCTCACGAGAGCCACTTCCACCGATAATAACCAATGTGTTGTTCATGTGCTGGGAGCTGAGCTTACCACCTCGAGCTTTGCAATGTACACATTTTCCCTGGCCGTTTTCACTCAGGCTCTTGCACTGGTATCTTTCAGTTCAATTGCAGACCATGGTGAGTAACTAAATCCTCCAATGATGGCAAAGTCTCATCTGCTTCAGCAACGTACAGGAAGAAGCTCCTCGTGGCATTCGGGTTCACGGGTGCCATATCCTCAATGATGTTCATCTTCATTGTACCACAGATTTTCGTTCTTGGATCACTTCTGACCATTGTTGGAGTGACGTGTCTTGGCTCCTCTTTTGTCATCCTCAACTCGTACATCCCACTACTGGTGGCAAACCACCCGCAGACTTACGGGGATGGGGACCATGACATGAACGAAGCATCATCCGTACCCCTAGAACCCCTTTCTCCGGGCCTGCGGCGCCGAGAATCATCAGAGCGTCGAGATTTTCACACCACCACTCACTCGTCTGGACCTCAGAAGAGGGACTCACCCGCGCTCATGCTTTCGACGCAAATCTCTTCGAAAGGAGTCGGTATCGGCTACATGGCAGCCGTCTCAGTCCAAATTATTTGCATACTGATCCTATTTGCTATGTCGAAGTTGACTGTCTCCTCAACCCTCGCTCTCAGAATCGCTCTCCTCTTCGTCGGGATCTGGTGGTTCGTCTTCACAATTCCTGCCTCACTCTGGCTCAAAGACCGCCCCGGTCCACCCCTCAAAACCGGGATCTCAGGAGGAAGAATAAGTTGCTGTCTAGCATACACATCCTTTGCCTGGTCTTCACTCTGGAAGACAATAAAAGTGGCCGCTAAACTCCGCCAAGCAGTCATCTTCCTCATCGCTTGGTTCCTCCTCTCCGACGCCATTGCCACCGTATCTGGAACCGCAATCCTCTTCGCCCGAACAGAATTGCGAATGGGAACTGTCGCCATTGCTATCCTCTCCATCACCGCCACCGCGTCAGGAATAGCAGGCGCTTCAATCTGGCCCATCCTCTCCCGCCGCTTCGGCTGGAAAACAAATCACACGCTCGTCGCTTGTCTCTGCTTCATGGAAATTGTTCCATTGTACGGCCTCCTCGGCTACCTCCCATTCTTCCAATCCTTAGGTTGGGGTGGCCTACAACAAGCTTGGGAAATCTATCCCCTTGGCTTTATCCACGGTTTCGTCATGGGCGGAATCTCCTCGTACGCACGCTCATTCTTCGGGCGTCTAATTCCGCCTGGAAGTGAAGCAGCATTTTACGCCTTGTTTGCCATCACTGACAAGGGTAGCTCGGCCGTGGGACCGGCGATTGTGGGTGCCATTGTTGATGCGACGGGGACGATCCGGCCCGCGTTCTTCTTTCTGGCGGTGTTGATTGCAGTTCCTGCTCCGCTGATTTGGATAGTGGATGTTGAGCAAGGACAAGTTGATGCTGTGAGGTTGGCTGGCATTATGAAGAAGAGTGGTCGGGATGATGAGATTGATGGGAATGACGAGGGGCTGCAGGAGGCAGAGGGGTTGATGAGGGATCATGAGTAGGTCGCTCAGTATACGTGACACATTCAGATATTGGATACCCACATAACAACCTTCTTCTTCTGTTCTTACTTCCCGATTCCCCCAAAAGAGAACAATAACTTGACATTTCTCTATGTAAACCTTTCAACCCACAAATATGCCCCGACCAGTTTACAATTTACCGAGGTCTGATTACTATTCAACATCTCGACTAACTAATGTGAAGCCATCTCCCCACAAACTTCTGATACTCCAGACATCAACCCCTATTCTTTCTCTCAAAACACATATAACAATTGCCACCATCGTGCCTCAATTCCGCACCAAGTACCCTTAGCCCTTTCCCCACTTCTCCTCAGCACCAGCCTTTGAACAACTCCCCTCTCCACCATCTCCTTCCTTCCAAGCCACCAAAGCCATGTCGCACAATCCCCAAAACAAACCAGTAATCGCCGTCGTCGGTGCAGGACCCGGGATAGGAGAAGCAGTCGCCCGACGCTTCGTCTCCTCAGGCTTCATCGCTGCCCTCCTAGCCCGCACGGAAGGCAAACTACAGACCATGGTCTCCGGTATCACCTCTTCCTTTGGTCCCGGAACAGCAAGATATTATCTCACGGACTTGCGAATCGAATCTCAAGTTCAATCAAGCTTCAACCTCATCCACTCAGAGCTCGGTCCCGCCTCGGTACTGATCTACAACGCAGGCGCTCGACGAGTAAACGGGCGCTCAATCCTTGACACGACGTCCGAGGAATTTGAATCCTTCACTAAAATCAACCTCTTCGGTGCATTTTGGGCAACTAAATGTGTACTCCCAGATATGCTCGCCGCGGAGAAAGGCACAATAATCTTCACCGGCGCAACGGGTTCCCTGCGCGGATCCGCTGGACTCTCCTCTTTCTCACCCGGGAAATTCGGGTTAAGGAGTTTGGCACAGATTATCACGTGGGAGTACCAAGCAAAGGGGGTTCATTGCGCGCATCTTGTGATGGATGGGCCAGTGGATGGGAAGCTGATTGGTGGTGTTACGAGGAGGAAATGGGAGAGGGAAGGGGAGAAGGAGAAGTTGATAGAGGTGGAGAGGTATATTATGCAGCCGAGAGATCTGGCTGATATATACTGGTTCTTGTATGAGCAACCCAGGAGTACGTGGACGCATGAGCTGGATGTTAGGGCGCAGAAGGAGAGCATGTTTTCTAAGCTTTGAGTGTTTGGCGGGGGCCGCTGCTTTGAAGTGACAATGTCACATTTTTTTAGGGTGCAAAGTCGGACTTAACGTTCTGATAATGTACGAGGATCTTATACATTACGTAGCAATTAGCATTATGTATAAGCGCCCCGTAGCCAGTCGAGAACTCCATTTCTGAGATTACAATCATCCTGATAAAAATGTCCATGTAGGTTTACGGCTTACCTGTGCCAGGCTTTACCAAACATCACCGCAACCATAACAAGGACTACCGCTGCCATAGTCATTATTGGAAGATAGTATAATATCCAACTTGCTGATTCATTTCACCGGCGAGATAGTTTCTGACGGTAGATGCATTCTAATACTTCAATATTCATATGCAGCTGATTCCGAAAATAATGCCGAATTTATTGCCATCTCAAGAACTGATGTAGCCATTGCATCGAGCAAATCTCCGATCTCCTCGAATAGCCATCTTTCTAGCATCAGCGCCCTTCTGGGTGGAAGTTGAAGCGAAGTAATATTTCCGTTGTTTGTGAATGGGAGACGAAGTAATTTAGGTTGAAGGGTGGGAGGAGTGAGAATATTTGAGCATTCCTTCGAATTCTAATGCGAGGGAGACAGTTGAGGAGTGTGAATGTTCCCTAGGAGCCCAAGGCTTTGTAACGAAAGTCGGTTGGTGTGTGATGTGAGAATAACTGAGGTACGCTCCCGAAAACGATATGGTGCTTGAGCCTTGACATATCTGTCGGGTTGCTCATAACATATATATTGTGGGATGTCTTGCTATAGAAAAGATCTGCTTTCTCAACCCATGCTCCAATGTGTAGTAGCATTGTGAGACACTGATTTTCCATGACGGGAAGGTATTGGAAGAACACACACCTCTTGGGGAGGTTAAGGGCAGAAGTTTGTATAGAATAGTGGTATAGAAGATTTCAAGTGACAGGATATAAATGAGAGATGACAGTAACATGGAAGATGTGTGCAGTGAGGGTAAATTGCATACGAAGACAACGGCATAAAGTATGGGGAATACAGGGCATTATTTTATGAAGGCCACTAAATGCCCTGTAAGGTCTTACTTTAATCTCCCTGTAGCTAGTCCTAGTCCCCTGTAAGCCCCTATAAGCTTACTAAAAGTGCCCTGAAGGCTTAATATGGGCTTATATAGCTTGACAGGTACTGAACGCCCCCAAACGCCTATAAATATAGGCGAGTCCACTAATTAATAGCGAGTAAAGGGGGGTAATTAGCCCTAATATATACCTCTCTCTATATACTTCGTTCTGAATTCTAATTCTAATTAATTAGAAAAATACTTAATATCTTTTGCTTTACTTTAGCTATTATTATGGCTACTTTTAGAGGTTATTCGATTTTCCTGATTTATTAGATAACTAATTAGAGCTCTCCTCTCTTCCTAATTCCTCAGATAACGAATACTCTAACGAGTATACTAAAGATAAAGAAAATATATGGTATAATTTACTATTAGATTCGGATAATTCAGATAATAATTTAACTAAACTAGCCCTTCTATTACCCGCTTCGTTAACTGCTTTTATACTTGCTACTTTTGGGCCCAAAAAGCACTCTACTAATACTAGAATTAAGGTTATTTATATACTTGAGAATAAGAAATCTTTGGGACAAATTAGAGAAGCTATAGAAGTATCCAAAATAGCTTTTTATTAATTTATAGCTATAGCTAGAAAGCGTAAATAGGTAGAAAATAAGAATATGCCCCTAGAGGTCTTTTATATACTTAATATATTAAGATCTAGTTAATCTATAATCTTCTCTAAAATAATTAAGTATATTTTGAAAGTTATTCTTTAAAATTCTATAATAAGAGGCTTTTCTTATATTATAATTATAAAGGAAATAAAAAGAAGAGGTTATAAGATTATATTTAGAACTATATAGAAGGTTCTTACTTATATAGGCTATTCTTAGTATAAACTAATAGTTAAGCCTGGCTTGAATACTCTTAGTAAAGAGAAAAGATTAGTCTAGTACTTAGAGCAAGAATATTAGATACTTAATAATTAGAAAGATATGATTTTTATAAACGAGACTATTATTTAATTAGGAGATATAAGAAGAAAGAGATATATATAAAAATTACCTGAAAAAATATATAATAAGTATTATATATAAAGGAGATAAAAAGAATTTTCTGAATATATATTTTGGGAATTATTCTCTTATAATAAAAAGAAGCCTTATTATATATAAGAAAAAGAAACTTTATAAGAAAAGAAAAATTATAAGATCAATTTTAATATAAGAAACTTATTAATTAAAAAGGCTAATAAATAGAAATAGGAAAAGAAATAAAGGAAATAGTTAAGGAAATAGAAAAAGGCTTATAGAAGAGCTATTAGAAAAATACAAAAAATATAGAAGTATAATAAAAAGACTAGTACTTATATTATAAAAAATAAATAAGAAGAAATTAATTAATATTAATACTAGAAAAAGATCTTAATTAAGAAGCTTTTACTATTTATAAGGAAATACTAAAAGAATTGCCCTAATACTATTATATAAAAAAACAATACAGGATTTTATAAGTTATATTACTAGAAAAAGATTTATAATCTATAGAAGATTATAAAGATATTTTAATTAGGAAACTTACCTGATTTTAATATAATTAAGAAAGTCTGGTTCTGGATAAAAAAGGAAACTATTAAGCGGGGATTTACTAGTAATAGAAAGAAGCTAAGAGTAAAGTAGGAGAAATACTAGGAAAACTTTTTCTAGAGTAAGATTTAAGAGTAGATTATAATAATTCCTAATTATATAAAAGAGATAATATATTTAGAAAAGGAGAATAAATATAAAAAAGGGGGAAAAAAGAATTAAGAGAAAGTAATTATATATTAGATAGTTATTTAGATAAATAATATAATAATACTAGCTAGATATAGCTATTATATAACTAGTTTTACCTAGCTAGCCGGCATTTTAGTAGTTTTAGCTAGTATTTTCCTCCTTTTATCCCCTTTCCTTTTCTCTCTCTCTTTCTTCTTTTTAGCTTAGTATTTTTAATATATAAGATTCTTGAATCTTTGAGCTCTAGCTATTACCTTAATTCCGCTATTATATTATACTAAGCTTACTTAACTCGGCTTATAGAGGTAATATAATACTATTAGTAAAGGACCTATACTTATTCTTGGAAAGCGAAGGCAGAATACTGCTTCTAATATTCGGATTCTCTCGAATTTAAAAAAGATAGAAAGATATATCTTCTAAGATCTAGTTAACTTCGGAATCTGGCCCTTAACTAGAGCAGATAATAACCCTGTTCTCTATAACCTAGTTAATCTCGGAGTTTGGCCCTTAACTAGAGTAGATAATAATCTAATAGTCGGTCCTCTGCCGACTTAAAAAAAAAAAGATTCCCGTCCTCTATAATCCAGTTAACCTCGGAATCTGGCCCTTAACTAAAGCAGATAATACTTCCTTAATATTAACAAGAATAAAAGAACCGGTATTTCCCTCTAATAATTAGTAGTTTCCCAATTTGAAATAAGAGATATAATAGTCGGTTCCGGATTGCCGACTTAAAACAAAAGAGATATAATAGTTGGTTTCGAATTACCGACTTAAAACAGAAATAACCCGGTAATTAGTTCCAGTTTACTAATTTAAAACAGAAATAACTATCTTATATTTGCCTCTTCCTTATTCGCCCCTTTCTTATTCGCCTCTTATACGGCTGCTCCTTATATAATACTACTTCTCTAATTCGGACAATTCAGATAATTCTATTTTAGAAAAAGCTTATATATAATATCCTTCTACTAATAACTCGTTCTCTAAAGAAACCGAGAGCTAATAAGACTCTAGTAAAGCTAGCTCTAGAGCCGAGATTAAGTCGGATATAGAGACTAATTCTATAGATAGTTCTTTAGACGGTTTCCTGAACGAGCTTGGTTCTTTGGACAGTTTTCTGGATAAGCTTGGTTCTATAGACGGTTCTAGAGACAATTTGAACTCTATAGACGATTTGAGCTCTATAGACAGTTCTATAAACGATTTTGGGTCCGAGGCTAGTTCTGGAGCCTCAGGTAGAGAGGGAGGTGGCTATTAGTTAGATAGTAACTATTAAAAGCTAGTTATTTTTAGGAGTTTTATTAAAACTTTATTTCCTTTATATACCTAAATAAGGGCATTCAGATTTGGTTTCCGGAGAGGTAATATAATAGTACTGGCTGGGTATAGCTATTATATAACTGGTTTTATCTAGCTAGCTAGTATTTTAGTAGTTTTAGCTAGTATTTCCCTCTTTTTATTCCCTTTTCTTCTCTCTTTCTCCTTCTTCTCTTTAGCTTAGTATTTTCAATATATGAGATTCTTGAATCTTTAAGCCCTAGCTATTGCCTTAATTCTGCTATTATAGATAAAATCGAACTAATTAAAAAATAATCGAAATTAGAGGTTTAGTAAAATAAGCCACATTTCAGGGAACTCTTATAGGGCCTATAGGGAACTAGAACTAGCTATAGAGAGATTAAAGTAAGACTTTATAAGGTATTTAATAGCCTTTATAAAATAATACTCTATATTTCCGATATTTTGTACTATTATTTTTATATATAAATATACCCTAATATTAGAAATATTATATCTTATAGAGTTTGAAAAGAATAGGACTTATAATTACTGGTTTGAAATAAGGCAAATTAGTTCTCAAATAATATTTTATTCTATAATTCGAACTCCTTACTTTATACTTTAATATATTCTCTAGTAATATAGAAAATAAATAGAATAGAGTAGAATAGTAGGCCCTACTTATATTTTACTTAAATAAATTTCTTACTATTTATACTCGACTTAACTACTCTAGAATATTTTAGAGTAGTTAAGTAGTATATATATAATACTATATGTAATATTACACGTAATATACTAGCCTAATTAGATAAGGCTCCGGAATGGCCCGGGTCTAGTACTACTATACTACCTAATTAAGTAGTAATAAGGCTTAGTAAATAATATAATAGCTAGTATTATATAGTTAATACGGATATGATTTCAGCTAAAGGAATTGGTTTTAGCTAAGGCTCCAAGCTATAGTTCAAACCAAGCTCGGCGTTTCAGTAGTCTTGGCTATACCTACTTATCTATTACTATACCTTACTTCTTCTCTCCTTAGCTTTAGATTCTATAGGATATTGGAATTATAGATCTTTAAATATTATTCCATTGCTTTATTCCTGTTATTATATAATCTAAAACTCCTATCTTTCGGACAGTAGTTATTATTATTATTTATTAGAGCTATATACTCACTTATTGGAACTCCTGTCCACTAGCCCGCTTTCACGCGGAGCCCCCTTATTGTTATTGTTATATGGCGCTGTCTATAGTCTTTTACCCGCAAGGTGCCAAAAAGCTCGATTTTGGCCAGCTCAACCCCTTATTATTTATTGGAGCCCCTGGCTCACTACCTTATTGATTTTTTACCTCTTTACCAACTTTACCAATACTCCCTTAAGAATGGACACCTTCCAAACGCAAGTTCAACTCGAGTTCGATGATTTACGGGCTGAAATCACCATCTTGCGAGCTGCCCTCGCTAGTACCCAAGCCTAGTTAACTGCCTCTACGGCGAAATCCAGTCAAAAGTCGAAGCTCCCTGATCCTGAGAAGTTCGCTGGAAGTACCTACAAATTCGACACTTGGTTACCTTCTATTGAAGCAAAGCTAGCTATCGATGGTACGGCAATTGGAGACGCCACGGCTCAATTCTACTACGTCTACCTGAACCTTGATTCGTCTGTCTAATTAATAGTTCTGCTACAGCTCTCCTATATAGAGTATACTCAATCGTGGGACTACCAAACGATTCTGGATCAGCTTTCACGGGTATACGACAATCCAAATAAGCAATCGGAGGCTGAAGACAAGCTCTATGCCCTCCGCCAAGGCAACGATTCCCTTTCTGCCTATATTGCCAAGTTTGAATATACCCTGTACGAAGCGAATAGCCAAAGCTGGCCAGATATTAATAAAATTTCCAGCTTTCGCAATGGCCTCAATTCCGCAATTCGCTCTCGTCTGGCCCAGCAGCTTGTTCTACCCAGGATTTACGCCGATTTCCTACGTACGGTTCAGCAGCTCTCGTCAAAAACAGCCGCACCACCGTACGTTACTGCTCCCAGAATTGCCAGCGATCCTATAGACGTCAGCAAACTGACAATTGATATCGTTACACCGGTAATTGGTGCCCTCACGTCGTTCTCTGAGCCAATCTCACCGGCTATGCCAGCCCGTTCCACCTCAAAGGAGCTCCGCCAGCTATATCGTCAAACCGGCAGGTATATCAGATACGGATCCCAGGATCACTTTATCAAGAACTGTAGCTTGGCTCCTGCAAGTACTGCCACTGGTTCTGGTTGCAAATAGGTCACGACTGCCGCAATTGACCATTACTCTGATTCTGGCGATTCTAGCGATTCTGGAGGAGGGCCAACCTTGGATCCGGTTTTTAACCGTATATGGAGGGCTGATTTTGCGGCTTGATTGGAATAGGGTCCTTTTCCTTTGTTCTGTCATTTTTATTACACTCGCTTTAGCTTTCCCTTTGTTTACTAGCGCTCGGGACGAGCTTTTTGGAGGGGGGGTAATGTGACGGCTGGTGTTATATGGTTGATACGGACGTGGTTTCAGCCAAAGGGGTTGGTTTTAGCTAAGGTTCCAAGCTATGGTTCAAACCAAGCTCGGCGTTTCAGTGGTCTTGGCCATACCTACTTATCCACTGCCACACCTCACTCCTTCTCTCCTTAGCTTTAGATTCTGTAGGATATTGGAATTATAGATCTTTGAGCATCGTTCCATTGCTTTGTTCCTGCCGTTATAAATAAGGTAGAACCTTAATATATTCTTAGGCTTCCTTAGCTATTAAGGGCAAACTCTTCTCTCAAGGTACTCTTATTATTTAAATTACATAATAGACTTAATAAGAGTACTATTAAGATAATATCTTACTTAAAAAGCTGGGGGTTATTTAAAGACGAATTAGAAGAAGTAAAAGGAGAAGAAAAAAAGCAGGAAAAGAAAGATTTCGAGGAGGGAAATCTGGTATTTAAGTAGCGTTATATAAGCTCTAGCTTAAATTATATAGTGCTGCTTAATATGTACCTTATTTATTTGTTAATAATTAAACAAATATCGATTTATTACATTTACGTGACTTGCACGTGACTACTCTTGAGTTACTCTAGAGTAGTACTCTACTCTACTCTACTCAAGTACCATATTATACTACTCAAACTCTACTCTACTCCACTCAAGACTACTCTAGAGTAGCTTGAGTAGCTTGAATAGTTTTTGCCCACACTGCTCTCCAGAAATGCACCTGAAATTTCAATTACTAAAGCAGTAAAGCCATGCATCTCTGACTCGCCTGCCCCAAGCATGAAACGTGAAATAAAATTCCAATGTGAAGAAAGTAAAGACAGATACCTTCTCAGGACGAACGGAAATCCACATGGTGTCATGGCTTGTGCTTCGACTCCCCACTACTGAATTCAGAAACGAAAAGCAGGCTACACGCCGAGTCGACCTTGTCGTTTTGCAAGATGCAAGATTGGCAGAAATAACTCACCTTCAATGGAAACCTTATCAGTCTCTGTGCAACTTTGTAGATGTCAGAATTGGGTGCTGTGGCGCTGCGGCTCTGGGACAAGGCACCAAGAGTCCATAGATTTCCCACCCAACTCGAAACTTGACTGGTTTCCTACATTCACTCTCGTACACCAAATCGATGCGAAATCTCACATGCAAAACCTTTGACCATCTCCTTTCGACGCGGCCGCAGGTATTCGCGCTTGGAATCCTGGCCCTTCTTTCCTTACAACTGCCTGCAGTAAAATACAGGCAATCATAATGCCTTAATTTGAGAGGCATCGAAGACTAAAACTTCGTTTTCATCGCCGTCCCACCGTCACGTCTACACAACCCTGTGGCAACCAGGTCACCAGGTCAATCCTTTGCTATTTCCAGAAGGTAGAGTATTGTTTCTTCGTCATCTTACTCCTATTCATATTATGGCCATCGCGGCATGGATCAGTGAGATTTGACGGTCACTGTCCTTCGAACCAGATCACTTTCGAGTCGACGAGATCTCTACGAATTTCGACCGAATTCTCCTTTCCGTTCCGAATCACGCAAACCAGGCTTGGCAATATTACCTAATTTCGGGTATTGATCCGGATTAATACCAGAATCGTAAGGTATCAATACTATTAATACCGGTATCAATCCTAAGCGAGCTAATCCTAGTATATTTGAGATTCTTGGTGTTTTTAATGCTTTGAGAGGACTATTTGTATTAAAGGTACTATCTAAAAGATTGCAAACCCTCGTACGGCCTCTATAAAGTACAAGTAAGGCTATAAATACCCCTTATTAAGTAATTGTACGTAATGCAGCTGCCCTACCAGTTCCACGAGGGGTCTTTCTCACAGCACCACGTTGAGTAAGGCGTCCTCCCTTTCCACGACCACCACTGCTAGCTCCTCCACGTCCTCCTCCACGTCCTCCTCCACGTCCTCCACGTCCTCCACGTCCTCTACGTCCTCCACGTCCTCCAGTACCAATATCTCCATCGCTACTCTCACTCTCAGTATCCCCTCCCCAAGTACAAGTAGCAGCATGGTCCGGCCACTTATAATTACCACAGCAGTTATTCCATTAACCCATAATCCGGCGGCACTCAGGGAAAATGGTATTATTAAGGCCCGTACGAGCACAAGAACGGCAAGGAGTGGCTATTATATTAGCTCCTCTATACTAAATGAGAATCGTATTAATATATGACTGGCGCTAAGTCATAACTTGACTAATTACAATACGATTAGGGTTAACAAGGACGTTTTGGCCAGGAAGAGCAAGAGCTTGGTTCTAGAGGTTATTATAATACTTGAATCTAGTTAGCTTAAGCCCTCTCGTACGAGAAGAATTACTTACAAATCCAGCTAGCTACTGGCCCGTAACCACCATTATCTACTAGCCTTAAGGAAGAGCTTGGCCTGTACCAAGAGCAAAGGCATTACCTGTAAGATTAACGAAAGAAACAAGTCTAGCAGGTTAATAATTATATAAGCAGCTAAGCTTAAGAGACTTACTACTAGTTTGGGTTAGCAGGTACAGGAGGGCCAGGAGCAGGCAAGGCAGGGGGATTACTACCAGGAGCAGGATTATTTAATATTATATAAGATATTAACGTTATACGAGAGATCAGGTTATTAGTATTAATATTAATAAAGGAAGAAGGCAGAAAGTAAAAGTAAAGGATCCTTCCTAAATAATTAAAATTAGCCTAGGAAAAAAAATTTAGGAAATTTCTAAAAGAATCTAAGATTATATAAGAGCCTTGAAATATATAATTCTTATTAGTTCCCCCTTTAAACTAGCTAGTCTCAAAAAAGATATCTAGAATTCTGCTTCTTTTCTAGTACTTTAAGTACTCTCTTATCTTAATAGTCTCTGCTTCTATTTATACTCTATCCCAGGCTACCATATAACAATCTCCTAAAAAGACTCTCTCTGGCTTATTACTTATTAGTGGGATTAAGAGAATATTAATAGCCATAAGTAAGAGCCTAGGCTAGTATTGCCTCTATATATCTTAATACTATTATATAAGGGCTCCCCTTTTTCCAGGATCATATAAGTCTTGTAAGTTATAGTTCTTATACTCGTCCTCACTTGCTAGCCTAGTAACTATATAAAGAGACAAGGCAATCTTATTAAAGGGATCTATCTCTAGTATATCTTAAGAGAGATTACTATACGAGAAAGGCATATAGGAAGGTAAGGGCATAGCTGCCTCTTCTCTATACTTCTCCCAGAGTGCCTTTATACTTACTAAAATCGGCTTTACCTACTTCTTTGGCCAGTAAACCTTAATATATCTCTTATAATTACCAGGATTTAAGATTAAAGTAGTAGTATAAATAGGAGAGAGATTAGTCTTGGTATAGTACTTATCAAGAATAGTATATACTATATCAAGCCGGCTAAGGAAGTCCTGGCTTTCTTAATCTCTTTTCTTTTTATATTTGGCCTATTATATTATATATTAGTAAGATAAAGAAAGAAAGAAAAGAAGAGAAAAGAAAAAGTATAACTTATAATCTCGGTTTAAATATATTTAATTAATATATCTATTATAAAGAGTATATAATTAATAGATATAAAATCTCCCTTAGTAAAGAAAATAGCTCATATAAAAAAGTAAAGAAAGTCTCGAATTATATAAAGCCTTCCCTACTCCTTAAAGCTTAAGATATTATCCTTAAGCTCCTCTTTATAAGCCTGGTAATAGGCCTTAATATAGGGCCTCAAGAGTAAGAGAATATCAAGTATCTTATACTAGCTATTTCACCTTATATAATTATTTATAAGAACCAGCCTTCCTATAAGCTTAACAAATTATACTATTCTACTAGCAGATCTATAGATATAAACTACGATATTATATCCCTTGCCAAGTAATCCCAAGAGCCTAAACTTAGCTCTTATTACCTCCTTATCCGTATATTCTTCTCGCTTCTCTTAATTATTATACGACTTAAGGACTTCTAATTCCACTATACCTATAAACAAGAAGGCTTATACTATTAAATTAATAATATGGCCAATATAGCAAATTCGCATTTATACTATATTCTATTCCAAGCTAAACTCTTGCTTCCAGTAAAGTTAAATAGCCCGGTAAAGAGTATTATTAGAAGAAGCATTATTAGTTATAATAGCCCCAAGCTTTCATATAATACTATAGTCCTAAAAAACTAGAAGAAGAACTGCAAACTGGTTTTCCCCGGAATAGCCACCTACTTGCTTAAGAGCAAGAAGGGCCTTTTATCTCTTTGAGTTATACGAAGTAAAGTGGGTATAGATTACTAAGAGAAGATATCGGTTTAGAGAAGTCCAGATATCAAGAGAAATATATATCCGTAAGAGTACTAATTAGATAGCCTTTTATATAATATCCTTATATCTTGCCCAAGCCTCCTTGACCTTATTAGAAACTCCAGAGTAAGAGGTAGTAATCTTGCCCTTATATACCTGGTTTAGTACTTGGCAAAAGGTATAAAACTCTGGCTATTTAACCATAATATATAAGAGATTTCATATAATAATTAGAGAAATCAGAGCTTCTATAAGGACTATTATATTAAGAGAAGCCTCAAGGATCTCTAAATCAAACTCCTTAGCCTTACTAGTAGCCTCAGCTTAGTAATATAGCTATCTAAGTTACTTCTTTACCGCTTCTTGAGTCTTACTTAGAGCCTTCTCTATTATAATCTCAGGGTAGTATTTCTTAATATATTTTGCCATATTTCCTGAGCTTGTACTACCGTATGGCGGCGGAATTTCACCTCATATATAGTAAAGGCAATAAAGAAAGAACTAAATCTTATCTTAGTAGGGTTACCGGTAGTGGGCCCAAGTAGGGGATCGCTTCTTGCTATGGGCTGGATCGGATATAACTGACTCTATTATAAGTGATGGTATAAGGAACTCGTCTGGTTCAAATAAAGAAGACATTTTGAGGATATACTTTAGAGAAAGTCGTCGTACGAGGAGGGAAAAGGTAAGGAAGGAGGGGAGTGAGGCATGGCGGGGTAGAAAGGCGGTGAGAGCTCGCTTAGTATCAATACCAATCGATCCAGTATTGATCCCTGTAATACTGACTAATACCGGGTGGTATTGATACGGTATTGATACCTCAGGTATCATTGCCAAGCCTGACGCAAACTGCCTTTCACTATCTGTTACATGAATCTCCACGTACTGGATAGCATTGAGGCAAATACTTTTGGGCGATCTCTACGCCACCGAAATGCCACCTTCGATCAGGCAGCTCCAGGGCAAGGTCCAGAATACGGAAAAGGATGTTCTGCAGTCGTGGCGCAAGTTACAAGAGGTTGTGGAAAAGAACGAGGGCACAAGGCAGAGGATATGGAATAACAAAACAAGGTTAGTGCGGGAAAACATTCTCCGCAGTGCCTGAAGGACGATTCCAGTCACTCATCACCCCGACTTACAGGATTTCTGTCAGTTGCCATAAATGTGATTCTCCTCTTTTTGGATTAGCTCAGCTGTAGAGGCATATAAACCCTCCGCTGAACCGCACTTCTTGTACTTTAGACATCTGAATCTACATCAACTTTACCCTCATTTTTTGAAGCCTAACTATATGCCAAATACTGCCTTGTTTATGCAATTGTTAATTTCCGCAAGGGAACAGAACATTTGGAGAAGGAAAAAGACCGGACTCCATACTTGTGGCGTGACATAAACCTGGAAGGTCTTTCCCGTGACCGGCTATTTCTGAGAAGGCATCATCAGATTCATCACCCGCGTGCTTTCGCGTACGCGGAGCTCAGGTCAGCAAACACGGGTGTCGACCGAGTATCACCAGCTTAGCTTTGCGTTCATTACATCGCGGAAGGGGATCTTCGCTGTTTGAGACCTGCAATATCGGTACATTGCCAACCTCCAGGCGATGAGTAGTTGATATACTTGTTTCGACGTTTCACCCTACCAGGCCCAAAAGTCTTGGGCCTTCGAGAGACACTGGTCGATATTGCAACGCATCTGGAGAAGCTGGAGGAGAAAGATCGAGTTTCTCCATTTCTTGCATGTATGCTTTCAGAATTCGGCATGGCATGATTATACCTTAAACGAGAATTGGATGTCCTCCCACAAATTCGTATGTTTTCGGAAAGTGAGGTTGGAGATTGTCAGGTGCACGATAAGAGTTGTGTCGCTCTCTTGCAACTCACCTGTGCCTTCTAGACTAACGGCCGACGCTAGGTACAACAGACGAAACTTGGCAAGCCCTCAACGTAAGATTTCCTCCATCCATCCGAAAAGATCGACAAATACACCCCGAAATTATGCTGTCTTTCGGAGCGAAAGCTCGATTCGATTTGGGGAGTCATTGATAAAGCCATCAAAGCAGCAATTGTCGGCAACATTCCACGAAAGGTTCCGCTTTCGTTCCAAAGAATCACGGAGAGTGTGAGGATGAAATTTAGGCTGGAGATGTGAGAGGATTGTTCGATTATTTGTTGACGTTGAAGGAGTGGCCGAGGAAGAGTTCCGTCCCCCCCTGAGGAGCCTAGACTGGAAATTGACCAAAATTCACCCGACATAAAAAATCTCCAGTTTCTTAGATTTCATGCTCCAATTCAAGTATGGTTATCAATTCTTGATGTTGTGGCGTGGAATGTGAAGTTTGTGGTTTGCACGTGACCTAAATATTAAGTTCCTTCATTCCAAGGTTACGGCTCTTCAAGAGATTGACAACTTCAACATCCATGCGACAACCCCTCGCCTCAGACCTCGAAACGAAACCACAATTCTGCGGGAACTAGTTGACCAAGGAAGCTCTCCTGGAAACCAATCTGCGAAGTCAGGCCGAATCTGCACACCGACGACAATGAGGCGGCGCGGCTGCCGCGAAGGCCAGGAAGCAATGCTCAAGACACCCCGTCACTGGAGAATGTTGGCTCTTTTACGTCCCTGAACCTCCATGCCGAAGGCAAATATGTCTCGTGAGAAGCAGCATACTCGCCTCTCGGCCCTTTCTGCGCAGTCGACGAGCCTCTGGCTTGGGCTCCTCGAGGTCGCGACTCTCGAGCTGCAGTCATGCAATAATGACTATTGGCTGCATACGGCTTCAAGTAATAGACAACTTTACTCTCACCGCAGATTCAGCTCCTGCAAAGCTACTCGACGACATGGCTGCCAAGCTGTCAATCAAGAAAATCAAAGCGACACTTATCAAGCCGTCAGCGACCTCATTACAGGCCTTCGAACGCGTTTGTCCATCCTGTGATATCTTCGAGAACACAAACCGAAACAATAAGAGTGATTATGAACGATCAAAAGCCTACCGTCGTCGTCGAACCCACATCCTCAATTCGAGTCAATCATCGGGACTACCACATCCCCGACGCCGCTACCCAAGCTCTCCTCAAACCATTTGCATCTCCGATACTCAAACACCACACATCACATACAGAGGCATCTCCACGACTGTCGCCACACAAGACAGCGGAGAAGGGTTGTCGGGTTGAGGAAACATTGGTAGACGAGACCCGGATATTCACACTGTTGCCCAATGGCTCGTGGGGCGAGAAAAGGAGACTGGCCGTCCCACACAAGTTATATTGCTTTGCAGGAGGCGGGTCTCGCGGACCCCCCAATAAGGACCACTGGGCTCTGTGTGCAGAACTCTGCTCGAAACTACCACAATACGAGATCAACCTCGTGAGCTACCCGCTGGTCCCAGTAAGCCCTGCATCTACAACAATTCCCCATTTGGAGAATGCACACCAGACCCTTGCACGAGAGGCGAGAGAGCAGAGTTTTCGCATGTCATTCATAGGTGACTCCGCTGGTGGAAATATTGCGTTGGAGTTGGACATTTCTTCCGTATGCGGCCTTGCAACTTTTGCGAGAGGCGACCGAGGGTGCTCAGGAGAACATTTATCCAGTGGAGAACATTTTCGCCATACGTGCCGCCACGGACTTCAGAAACAACAACCCATAAATAGATGCCATCGACCAAAACGACTCACTGCCCAGTCGAAAAGGAACCCAGGAAGTGGCACTAGGTTGGATTGGCGAGTCGTCGTTGTCAGACCCCAGAGTTTCCCCTATATCCGGCTGATTTGGAATTGCTGAAGTGAGCATCATCAAAGTTGATGGAATCATCGCAGCATATGATGTTCCCGCTCCCGACGCAGTTGTTTTTCGCAAAAGGCTTGAAGAGTGCAGCGTGAAGGGCGACTGGCTTGAGTGGGAGAAGCAGCTGCGTTGCTTCCCTTTGATGTTTCCAAATCATGTGCGTGAGGGCATCGACGCAAAAGACTGGACCGCAGACATTCTGAGGTCGAACATCCAACGAGAAGAATAGATGACCTGCCAATGCCAAGGGTACAGGGCAGTGTAGCTAGATTTGTCAAGATTATCGCCGAGTTGTGAGCGAGGCGGAGATGCGCTGCGGAGAAGTTTTTTGCTCGTTTGTCATGTCTTGCCACGATGGCATTCCGGAATGCAGCTCAGACAGATATGTCAACTATTTCTGTCACGGTGACATCGTGAAATGTCAGGCCAAAAGGAGTGCCAGGTCTCGTGTTCCCGCAAGTCGTGTTGAGGCAGGTTGACGAGTTAAGGAAAGTCAGTCTTGTCCTCTGGGGGCGGTGAATTCCTCGAAGCCAAATATGTCTCAAATACACGGCTTCGAGTATCTTGCCACATGTGATTTCAAACTTCCTGTGGTGCCGCGTTGGCTGGGCGGTAAATGCTCCGCAGCGCGCTTACGCCTATGCAGCAGTCGGTATCTCCGCCATCAGCAATCTGATCATTTGCGCAGAAATGCACCGCACAATCGATTCTCGTGACGCTCGCGCCCTGAAAAATATGCAGGCCATCACTTAGTACCGTCGTCATCCTGCGGCAGTTGGCATTTTGGGGTAAACAACTCCTCCATTCAGGCCGCTCACCGGGTTGGCAGGGGCGGCGGTGGAGTTTTGGAGCAAGTCCTCCAATTCCCAATTCCCGCTTCTAGTCCGGTTCGGGCTACAGTTGGCCAGAAGAGTCGTCCGCGATGTCCGCTTGGTGTAGCGATTGGACTTCCGTACCTGGAATCCCGGGTGATGGCGTTTGCTTGGGGCAGAGGCGGGCAGAGGCAAGCAATGCTACCATTTTCTGGTTTAGGCTTGGTATGCACTGTCAGCACCAGTTTTCGCGAAAATCCCCAATTTGGGAGCTAGCCGGATATTCTCAATTCCAAGCACCCCCAGTTCGCTTGGCAACACATCCCCACACAGTCATCCGCCATCCACTTCGGCGTTTAAATGGAGGTTGAGCAAATTGGTCATCGATCATGCAATAGTATGTAATGCTGTTCTCCAGCCCACTGGCTCGTCGTCGGATCCATGCTTCCCACGGTGCTGGTTGCGATATTCTAAGCTTAATGTTGTGTGGCTTAACTTGAGTTCAGAGCCCATGCTTGCTAGTGTCCTTCAGCCTCGAGTATGCAGTATCGTATTTCAGGAACTTAATCTTGTTTCAAGCAAGGTACTGCTTGGGCTGCTGGGCATGAATTCATAGCCTTTGGCAGGGCTGGATAGTGAGCACTGGATTCTGACCGCATCGTCTATCGTCGCACTCCCCGCCAATAATCCAGGAGCTGACGGTTTCTGAAAGTCGACAGTGGCTATTCACGATAAGGGGCGGGGAATAAATACTTGTCCCAGACCTCCAGAGACAATCGCGGCCGACGTCCTAGATCTCGTGAACAATCTCAACAGAACGAAAACCAGAGTCGGGCCAACATCCCCCAAACGGCAAACGTTACGCTGCTCCGTATGGCGCATGCCGACACCGAGGGCTTGCAGCGGGCGCCACAAGTATGCTCCCATTGCAAAAGTATCAAGAAAGGTTGCGACAAGAAGCTGCCTAGCTGCAGCCAGTGCATCAAGTAAGTTTCGGACTCCATACCTCACTGTCCTCATTACGCCCTCTTGGATTAGGCTACTGCGGTGTTCACTATTCAGCCATTAATTGCCTGCAGGGGAATATGCTAACGCTACTTCAGACGAAGAGCCGTATGTAGATATGGTGAACCCGAGGACCCTCGACATTCCGGCGACCGACTTACCAAATCTGAGAGTCCTCTGGGGAGGTCCGAAAGACTTGCATCAACATGGACATCGATCCCACGCTCAATGCGGGCGAAATTATGTCCGACTGTAAGGCTTTCGCTGCTGCTGATGAACTCGCTATCCGATGTTTTGCCATCGAACTTCGAGTCGAAAGATTCTGCAGCATCTGCAACCAGTAACAGCGTCTTCTCCTCCCAGATTCGCCACATCATCGAGAGAGATGGAAAATACATCGATGATGTCGTGGTTCGATATTTCCAAGGAGTCCATCTTTGGCTCCCAATCATCTCCAAAAAGCGTTTCCGCGACCGGTTTGCGCATTTTCAAGCTACTCCAACTGCAGATTTTGCACTCCTACTTCTTCTTATGCGACTGATTATCCAGCATCCTTCTCCGGACCCTGATATGGACCAGGACCGGGAAGTTCTCTATCTTGCTTCCAAGACTCTTTTCGCACAAGTTCAAGCTTTTGTCCCCTCCTCCCTTTTCCTTGTTCAAGCCGGTGTGTTGCTTGCTACCTATGAGCATGCGCACGGGGTGATCGAGGCAGCATATGTTACTATTGGCACCTCAGCTCGAATGGCATGTGCATTAGGCCTGCATACCAAGCCTTGTTCGATGGAGATGCAAGGCACTGATGCTTGGCTGGACGATGAAGAAGCCCTGGCCACGTGGTGGGGGCTGATGATATGTGACAGGTATGTGGATCGAAGGTGGCTCCAAAAGACTGCAGTCCCTAACATATTAAAGGGCTATTGGGTGTGATGCTCAAATGCACGGTCGACCCTTGGCCACTCGTCCTATTCGGGACGACGACTACCTGCCGCTAGAGCCAGAGTTCTTAGATGGAAGTCGGCGAGATATGATGGACCCTACATTTCGTTACTTCGTTTCCGCTATTTCTTTACCAGGAGTAGGATCTTTTGGTCGGGAAGCCCAAGCAACGTACTTGCTTGATAGAGTTCGCATGGCCATTGAAGCGGGTCAAACGAGCGAGAACACACTTTACCCTTTAGGTTGTGAGCTCCAAAACCTTTTGGGCACAGTTATGGAACAAGTAGCTGGAAGATGGGGCATCTATTGCGGTGCGACGCAGACGCTTATTTCGTAAGAACCTAGCCCTTCGGATCCCTTTAAAGCTAACGTTCTGCAGAGCTTTATATACTCTCCACCAGACTGCAGCTATGCAGCAAGACATCGACAATAATCCGCGATATAGAGAAACAGTAAAAGTTGCTTTGAAAACTATGACAAGAATGGTAATCGACATTGCCTACGCTTTCAACATGGAAGTAGGGACTATCAACATTGATATTCTAGCTCCAGCGACTCAACATATCGTGTGCTGTGCGCAACAACATATCTTAACGGCCCAAGATTTTAACGATAGAAAGTGGCTGGAGGACTTCAATCAGCTAAGGAAGATGTTAAATTATTTTAATCAGAGGTGGATTGTGGCAGGTGAGTTGCACGAGTTGCACTTACTTGAATAGATGCTGATGCGGCTATAGGCATGGAACTTCACCTGTTGAACGAAAATTTTGAGATGTCTATGGCATTGCAAATTTAGAAGAACGAGATAATGAAATTGCAATCGAACTTAGACGGCATTCGCTTCACGTCATCAAAATACAATCGACATATCCGCTTCTTCGAGCACCTCTTGAGGTCCGACCAAACCTTCAATCTTCAAATTATCCTTGGTGACCGCTTTGATACCCACTTCACACCAAATCTTCTCCTTGCTGAGTTCCCACGCCTGCATCTGCACAGCAACTTCTGTCCCCCACATCGGCCAAAGCTTCTTATAATCCGCCCAGTACTTTGCAAATACTCAGTCGGCTTCCCCGAAACATCACCCAACAACTTGACCAAATTGCCCGTCGAGATCGCATCCGACTCCGCAAGCACATATCTGGCCGGCAAGCGCAACTCCGGCTTCGTCAAAATCCCTTTAACAAACAAGCCAACATTTACATGCGGACTCCCAATCGTCCTCACTGCGTATCTTCCGCAACCGGCCACATCACAACATGTTTTCCGCTGCTCTTGACGAAGTTCGGCCCAGGCATGGGGAACTACAAATTATTCAACCCATAGTACGTGAGCCAGAGGAAGGTGGTCTTCTTAGCAATTTCTGGTGGGAATGGATGATGTCCTTGTCGACTTTGGCCTTGCCCTCGAAATGCGGAACGGCGATCTTGCCGTTGGTGATGGAGAGCCCGGAAGGGATTGCGCCATATATATAGTGTTGAAGAGGGGGTGTGGCGGCCGCAGCGTCGGCGAGGTTCTTACCCTTGTGTAAAATCGTTGGTTTGTCCTTTTTACCTGCCGAAAGTAGAAAAGGTCTCCCAGAAATTGGTTACTGCGAAGATAATGTTCGCTCCCTGAAAAACAGCAATGAGAGAGGGCTTGTCATTGGGGCCGACTTCGATGACTTGAATGGGCGGCCCATTGTGTTGCTTTGCTGCTGGGATTTCGGGTTACGGCTCGGATCTTCTTCTAGGATGGATCTTTGAGGAGCTTTGAGATGACGGATCCGCCTTGGGCGCCGATGGCTCCGATTACGGCGATGAGTTTCTGGGACGACATTGTGATGGATTTGGGCAACTGGGAGTTCAGAGCTGGTTGAAGTTGTCAGAAAGCGGACTTGCTTTGAATCACATTAAATTTTTCTATGGTCTTCTCTTCTTTATATACTCCGCTCTTGCTTGTCAGCCTCGCAAGGCTCTGAAGTCCATTTAGAAGTCTGAAATCATTTTTTGTACGACTCCAAGCTTCTGATAGGCTAACGTTTACGATATACGACTGGCGTGCGGCGTAACGACCATGACGCCCTTTTCGAGCCGTCCCTCCTCACTGCATTAGCAAGCTTCACCACGCAGGTACAGCAATCAAGGTACTCTGCACTGTGTCCAAGTACGTCCATCGGAGGTCGAAAGTGAAGTTATCCAAACCTCGCACCAAATTCGTGTGTGCTTGGTCATCCGGCTGCTTTTGCCTGCAGTGGCTGTCGGCTGGCTGCGAATCACACCAAGCACACCTCCCAGGTGTCCCAGACGTGGGAAATTACCCTAATCCCACTCTCGAAGGCTGTTGCACAGCGGCCGACCCCCCGCACCGATACCGCAGCAAGCCGCCACCTGTAGCAACCACAGCTGCAGCAGGCTTTCTGACAACCGAGTGCCAACCTCTCAGCCCTGTGGCCATGGGCACCTCACCCGCGGGAAAAGCAATTCCTAAGCTTCTAAATTTACAGTACGGTTAGGTCTTGCTGACGCTCTCTATTCCCAAAGAGGCAGATCCGCGACCCACGCGTCGAGGCCTGCGGGAGTTCTGCGACTTGCTGACGCGCTAATGTAAGCTGCGAGGAGCCCGGGATCCAAAGCGGAAGTGGTTTGCGAACTCAATACTCAATTTGTGGATGAAGGTATGGTCGTAGGGCTGTCAGGGCGCTCTTGCACTAATAATGAGAAGGCAAATACCCACTTCGGCTTGTGGCGAGCCAGAGTTGCAGCTGCATGGTGGAAGATGAGCTTTCGGTCCGCGATCCGGTGGGGGCTGCGGGCGGGCAGGGAGACCTGCTGGGAGGATGGCACGGGACGGGAAGGCTAATTCATACCGGTTGTGGTGAGTAAGGTCATGCTTTCTAAGCATTATTAAGCTGTGACAGAAGAGTTGGGAGGAGTGCAATGCCAGTGAAGCTGAAGTGAGAGGCTTGAAGATTGATGTCAAGTCACCTCAGGGGCTGGAAGTGAGGTCCCGTCGAGTGACGTGACCTCGTGGTTTTGTATCATTGCAAGCACGTTCTGCCCCCTGCTCCTCCTGTTTCCCGGGGAGGATCCTTTCGGCCGGGGGGATACCAAGGGAAAAGCGCCCACTGGGAGTCGCGAAAAGTTGCCGTTTCTGATTGCCATTTATTTTACCCCTGTTCGATTACTTATCAATGATCAGTCATCCAAGGCCTATTTTCATCACGGGTGCTTATATCCGAGACATCTGGGGTCAGTGATGGGCATTCATGATGAGGAATCATTTTATGCAGCGAAGTGTCCCATCACAGCGATTGTTGCGAAGTTTAAAGCTGTCGGGGATTCTACGCTGCGTATACGAAAGGGACAATCTAATTGGTCTTATGCAGCTGCATGTTCCTATTATTTCTTTCCTATCCTGGCGGGACGGTTCAAGTGCCATGCTTTGGTGGAATGCAGAGACGCTAAATGCTCTTAGAATATGCTATGAAAATAGAGACAACGGCATAAAGTATCGGGAATACAAGGCATAATAACTCTTAGTACTTTATAGGGCACGAAATTAAGGCAAGAGCTCGCTCTAAGCCCCCTTAAATAATGCTTTCTAAATTTATCTAAAGAGGCATAATAAGATCTTTATAAGAAATAAATAATTCTTTTTAAGATTATAATATTATTAGTAAAGTAATTATTTTATACTTATAATCTAATACTAATTAAAATATATTAAATGAATTATAAAAAAATTAATATAAAAAGCTTTAATTAATTTTTATAAAATAATATTTAATATTTAATATATATATATATAATTTTAATATTAATTATTTAGCTTTAAGAAATATAAACTTAAGAAGTAATAGCTAGAGTAAAGTTTTAGTTATTTTACTCTTACTTATTATAGTAGGGAATTAGGTAATAGTCACGTGGCTAGTTACGTGCTCTCGGCTATATATCTCCTTCTCTCCTTCTCTCTATTATTATATCCTAAATATTCGAGTTCTTTTATTAATATATTTTAGTATTCCTATATATTCCTCCTTATTATAAATATTAATATTTCTAACTTAGTTTAAAGTTCAAGCAAGCTATAATAGCAGGATTAATATAATAGTTAAAGGCTTAAAGTTTAAAGAATCTTATATATTAGAAAATACTAAACTATAAAATAAAATAGAAAGAATACCTTGACCTTTAGTATTATTCTATTTAAGTAATTCCGGCTTAGCTTTGTTTTATACCTATTTCTAATATTTTATCCTTAGTAGATTATAGCCTTATACTAGTTATTATATTATCTCTCTTCTAAAGAGAAGTTTAAATACTCTTATTTAGGGAATTATTTAGTTATAATATAAAAAAGAAAAAAGAGAAAATAATAGCCATTAATCCTATTTTATCTAATTTCTATAACTTACTTATAATTAAAGTATAGTCTTAATTTTACTAGAATAACCCAGTTCCTAGTATATTCTAGCTAGTTCTTAGTATCTATTACTTATATTATACCTATATCTATATTAATAATATAGTCTAGGAATACTATATAGGCTATAGCTAATATTAGGACTATTATTATTAGGTAGTCTTTAAATAGAAGTAGTAAATTAAGTCTATTTATTAATATTAGTATAGCTATTTCTCTGGAAGTCACATATATAGTTACGAGATACGGGATACGGGATATAGGTAATAGGTAATAGGATATGGGTAATGGGATATGGGATACGGGATATAATTATATAACCTCGCGTCCTATTAGTAACTTGACTAGTAAACTAGACCCCTTTAGGCTTAGTAGATTTAGGGATTACATATTAATACTATAATACTATAATTCCTACTTCTAAATAATAACTTTACTAATCTTATACAAATAGTACTTCTATACCTATATAATAGTATTATACGTTTCTAGTAAATTAATACTAATTAGTTTGTATTTAGATTAGAATAAGGTCTATTTATATATATAGATTAGAAAGGATTAAGCTATACTTGCCTAAGATTTGGTTACTTAGGGGCAAAGCCATTATTCTAGTTAAAGAGGAAATAACTATTAATCCTATTACCTGTAATTCGGTTATATAAGCAGAAAAGATATTTGATCTTACTAAGGCCCGATTATACTATATTAAAAGAGGAAATATCTATTAGTCCTATTACCTGTAATTCGGTTATATAGGCAGGAAGGGTACTTAATCTTACTAAGTACTAAAACGGTTAGCTATTTAACTATTCTATTCTATTCCCATTTAACTTCTATAAAATCCTTTCAAAAACTACCTTTTTTTAAATCCCTGGGGCTTTTAAGTTTTAGAATTATTAAATTCTCCCGGAATCTCAATATTTTATTTCTTAAATTTTACTTTTTAAATTCCTTGTTATAGACGAAATTTTTACCTTAAATATAATACCTATTACGAATTACCTATTTTATAAACTACTTTCCTCCTTATAAACCTATTCTCCTTATAAACTACTATATCTCGAACTAGATATAAGCCTATAGAATATATAATAGTAGAATATACTATAACGGATAATTCCTTTATTAGATTTATCTAATCCGATTACTCTATAGATAATAATAATTTTAAGGAATTAGTAAAAAAGTAAAGATATGGAATTAATCTAAACTTTACTAAAGCGGATGAAATAATTGAATTCTTAAATACTAAGCTATTTTAATATATTCTCTATAAAATAGTTAATAATAACCTTTAGAAGCTATTTAGATATGATTTTAAGGACTTTACTTATTAAGGGAACTTTAATAAATTCGAACTCCCGGAAATACTATATCTATATAAGACTTTTTAGTATAGTAATATATTTATATAATAGAATAATAATACTAATACTATTATAAATACCCTATATACTATTATAAAAGAAGATAAATAGTATATATAATTAAATAAGGATATATTAGTAGCTAGACTAGATCTTATTAAAAGACTAATCCTATTAGGCTTTATTATTCTTATAAAGAATAAGTACCTAGAACCTATTATCTTTAATATTTCTATATTACTATTACTTTCTCTATTATTATATCCTATATCTCTACTAGATTTATATACTAGTATAGAAGCTCTAGAAGTAAATAGTATACTCTTACTATTACTATTACTATAACTATATTCGAATAACCCCTAATTTCCTTTAACTATAAGACTTATTAGGAAAGTTACTAAAATTTATACTAAAGAATAAAAGTATAATAGATCTAATAATAATTTTAATTATAAACTTACTATTTTCCTTAATATTTACTAATATATAGAGCTTCTATAAGAGGTACTAATGCGAGCTTTTCTTACTATATTAAAGGAACTAGCTTAAGACTATTTCTATAGTAACTAGCTCTTTTAATATATATATAAAAAGGCTTATATTAATATCTATAGCTTTTTTAAAGGCCCTGGATTCAAATATCGAAATTTAGATAAATGAAATACTATTATATTAGCTTCTATAATAACTAAATTTCCGGAAAAAACAATATTTGAGACTATTTAACTACTAATTAATAAACTATATTAACTATAGTATAGTCTTATATCTAACTTATAAAATACCGAATTCCTTTATAATAAGATTATTACCTCTTACTAAGGCTCCCGGGTATATAGATATATAATTTTAGACCCTTCTATAAATCTTGGCTAGCTTATTAATAAGCTCTA